GAAGACCAACATAAACCCACATACACGACCTGTACTGCCTAGCACTGCCACCTCCTGGCTGTTACGGAACTGCATGCTCATTCTTTCCTGAAAGAACTTCCTGTTCTAACAAAAAACAAAAAACAAACTACAACAAAAAACAAGGACAAAACAAAACTCTAGCTTAAATTTAGGCAGACACCCAACTTTCCAACTTACCATTATTGTGCTATGATTTTTTAAAAAATCAGGATTTATAAACTACAAATAAGCTTTGGTTTCATTCTCTCCTTTTTCATCGCAATATCACTATGCCGTTTTTACCAACAAAGACAATCTGCTTGGTATTTCCAACCATTTACTGAGTAGTAGGAAGATGTATGGCAGGTTTACAAGTTAAAATATTGACATTTCCTCCCTTCCTAATAGCCAAACTTCGCCAAACTTTTAGAACAGTCTCACCACGACAGGGAATGTAGACTCACTCTAAAAAAGAAATAGGACAAGATTGTATCTTCCTGGCTATATCCAGAACTCAAACCCAGTAGGTGACAGAATGAAAGGCTAACCACTGCTGACGTGCTTCTGAGTCCTTGGAACGAAAGGTCTCTGTCATGACCCTAGCAATGAAACTGACTTCCTCTGTGGATCAGAAATACTATCTAACCATTTGTTTTGGAAGGTGGGGAAATAGGGAGATTTGAAACTAGAACTTAAGAAGGGATTTATCTTGTTCATATTGGTTGTCCTGGGCCAAGGAACAACCTAAACCTAACAGATAACAAAACTTAGCTAAGCCAGCCATGGTTACGGAGCATCACAGAAAAGTGGAGAGGAAGTAAGTCAGAAAGTTCCAGAGATTCATGTCCTTTAAGTGGCCATGGCTTGTTTTCCACAGTGGATACAGGAAGAAGTGGCTACAGAGCCTTCTCTCCAGGAGAGAAGATCCAAGAAGACACAGCAAGGGAGTGGTAGGGCAAACCTACCTCTGACAGTATGCGCAGTAAGTATTAAAGGACAGTGCTCAGAGGTCATCTTTCCCACAAGCCCCATGCTGTGCCAGGCAATCCAAGGATCAAAGATGAAATGTTTTCAAAGAGGCTTACATCATTTGATGAAACTGCTACCATCTCCCTTTATTCAAAGCATATTTTTCTCTGTTCTGAGAGTCTGTATTTTGTAAATGGTGCCTACTGTTTCCTCTAAATAGTAACTACTTGATCTGGGTTGGTGTTTCTGAACATCTTTAACAGATGGTCCCATTCGGACTTCTGGTATATCAACATTACACAATCTCCTTCAATGACATTTAGAACACCAAAACAAGTAAGATATGGCATACCTCTATATTCCTATAATGTGTAAAAGGCCCCAGAGAGATCTCACCTTTTACTTCTGTTCTCCGTGATGTTACTTATAAAATGTAAGCTTAATAAATACTAGAGGGAGAGGTGTCAAGAATGATTCCACATTATTGAACTACTGTAAATACAGCAAACCCCCAGAGAAGGGGAACCGCCACCTTTAGGGATATTGTAAGTGACACTGTATCTCAGGAGTGGCAGCTGCAGGGATGGCATCAATGAGACCAGTCATAGGCTTAGGTCCTGGCCATGAGGGACTGAAAGTGAGAGAGGACACAAGAAGCCACAAGGCTGAACGGCTTATATGGCAGTCATAGTTGGTAGTGAATTTTCCTAACATAGGAGATTAGAATGGCACAATCCATGCTTTGCCCAAACACCTCTAGCTTTCCTCCTAGACAGGAGAGCTAAAAAGTGGCTGGCGATTGTGGGAAGCAGCAGTTTAGTAATGGCCTGGAGATTCCAAAGCTGCTGCTCTCTGGAAGCACTGGAGAGGCGCCACCAGATCAGGTCGACAAGATAAGGAAAATTTTCTGCATGCTGGGCAGCCCTCCCCCGAAATCCAAGTCTCACTTCGAGTCAGTGACTCTCAAAAAGCTAATACTAAGAGGAAGAAAAACATACTTCACATGCCCTGCTGCCACACTGTTGCTGCCCTGGAGCCAGCCGCTCATGCGACTGTGAGGCAAAATAAATCTCTCCTCCTTCAAATCCTGTGTCCCGGTATTATCTCCCACAGATGAAAAAGTGACTAAGACGGGCCCATCCCGAAGTATCCTCTTTATGTATGTGCACATATCCCCAAATAATCAGAAACCCGTCTTGCTCTAAGCATTTCAGACAGGATACTCAGCATGTAACATACCACGTTGGAACAGGCGGGTTCCACTTAGCCTGTCCAACTCACCTTGAGTCCCTCCTATTTGTGCATCTATCTTATTTCCAGGCCACACCAGATGCCAGCTTGTTGCTTAACCTACCTGGGTCCTGTCTTCTATGTGGTTCTTCACACAGACAGTTTCCTCAGCTCAGAGCACTCTCCCAGACCCTCCTGTTGTTTTCCTAACCATCACTTCTCTTTACGTCTTTTCCAGATTCTCATTTCACCCTGTATTTCCCCTCTCAAGGCTCTTGCCATTTATATTTTATTTGTTAAATACATTTTTTTCTAAACTTGTTCAATGCTCTACTCCCATTCAATATGCATTTAGTTGGTTTTCTATAAATATTTATTGAGTGAATTAAAAGAGAAGCTTAGGGCCAAGGATTTTATTAAGATCGTTATTTTTCTGAATGATGCTCTGAACTAAAACTTGCTAGCAATCCTGACCTATTCATGGAGAGGGGCAGACTTAAGACCCACGTGGAGACCAGAGTCGATGTGATATTGGCCCCTAGTGGTTGAAACTAAGAATACAACCATCCCTAGTAAAAGACTTCCTGTAGCCCTAGCAATTAAGTTAAGGAAATGAAACTTCCAGAATTTTCTTCATGTTTTCACTTCCATATAAACTGACCTTTTCTTCCGTAAGAGGGAGAGCCCACCCTCAAAGTGCTGCCTCATTTAAATATTCAGCATTATGTGCAGCAATGTTTGGAAACATATCAGCACACAGAGGAAAGCCAGTGTATGAAATTTATACCAAGCCTGCGTAGGAGTTTTAATTCCTTTTTTCCTAAATAGCTTTTCTAGCTTCTGGGTTTTGTTTTTTTGGAATTGCAGAACTGCAGGTTACTGGACACCTGAGACGGAGCTGTATCTCTAGGTGCCTCCTGATCAAAAGGTAAAAACTATGTGCATGACAGGAGAGAAGAGCTGAGGCCACACAAGGGATGAGTTTAAAGAACAAGCAGATACAACTGTAATGTATTAATATCATCTACTTTTCCTCACAAACAAATCCAGTGGCAATGTTCATAGACGTCACTTGCTTTTCTCCTATTAGCGAGGACCTGACCCTGAGCTCCTCCCATGTGCACACTGAGCTGGAGGCTCTGGTGAGATGCTGCAGCTGCTGTGCTTCACCCAGTACTTGTAGTCACTTTGTCATCTCCAGGTTTTAAGGTTACTGCCTCCCCTCTGCCTTTCTCCAGTCCTTATAAACATTCTTAAGTGACTCTTACTCTTTATCTGGAGGCTGGGCGCTGCTCGAGAAAGAAAATCTTTGGGGCCACAGCAATCGCCTCAGTGAAAGGTGAGCAAGTCACAGAGACAAAGCCCAGGGGCCTCCTCCCAGGTGCATCCCTCAGCACAGGACAGCAAGGGCTGCTTTTGAGAGCGGTTGCACCTTCTGCTGGAGCAGAAAGAAATTCGTAAATTCTCCAGAGCATAGGGAAGGGTGCTGAATTCCCACAACAGACACATTCAGATCCCAAAGTGCAAACAAATCCATGTGCCCAGGTAAAACAAAAGATTCTGAAGACTGGCCCCGTGGGTCCTACCTTCCAGCCCCGTCTTCTCAGTGTTGTAAGTCACATTACCGGCTGTCACCAAATAGCTCTTTCTAGATCAGCCTGGTATCAAGACAGTACTTTTGAGCACTTTACCAACACCGTTTCCCCAAGCACCTGGACGGCACACACATGTGCAAAACAGATGGCAACCATTTCAACTAATTCGGACTGTACCTGCTGGCTCCAACAGGAGTTTGATGAAAAGGAAGTGATAGGCATACATTTCATATGCAAGGCCTTCATGCACTAGGCCCTTGCTTTCATCTTAAAAACAAATTTTTTTTTTGGCAGCACTCATGCCAGGAACTCTCATCTCGGTGTCAACTTTTACTGAGAGTAAGTCTTATTATAAAGGTGGAACACACGGGGACTAGAGATGGGACATCCTCCAAAAAGGAAAGGGTTTGGATAAGTGACTGTCTATCTCTGGGCCCCCGGACTGGTCAGCCACACCTACCATCTTCTTGAAGGCGCTTTCCAGGGCCCCGATGACCAGGCCTTCATGCGGGATCTTCTTCTCGGTGAAGAAGCGCGTGGGCGGGGTGCTAGGCGAGCCCGGGGTGCCCACCCCGCCGCGCAGGGAGGCTGCGCGAGTCAGAGTCCGGCTGTTGGCGGGCGTGTTCTCTGGCTCCTCTCCCAGGCAGGTGGGTGGCAGGACGGCCGAGTTCTTCAGGATCTCCACGATGTCCTGCAGCTGCTCTGTGACATGGTGCTGCAGCAGGCGCGATGCCACCACGGCGGCCCCGGACCCCGCATGACCATCAAACAGCGACCAGTAGTGGCAGGAGACACCCTCGGACTCCTGGTGGGAGAGGGAAACAGGAGGCGTGAACACCTGGGGGCTTTGCTGACACTGGGAGGTTTGCAGGGCCCAGCGTTTGCACTCAGTTTTTGTTTTCAGACTGAAAATAGTGGGGATTAGACATTGCAAATGGTCTCTCAGATTCCTTGTTGCTACCATCACCCAAAAGAGGAAGTGGCCCCTGCCTCTCTTCAGAGGGGAGAAGTCCAAAGTATCACGCCCTCGGTTACTGCTTGGGAAGGCAACTCCTACTGTACCTTGATGTGTGGGTTTGTGATGAAATGTGGTACACACACCGGAGCCTGCACAAACCCAGCTTTGACATCTAACTTCTTACCTCTGTTCTGCTTCAACCACAGTCTAGGTTTGGCTTGGAGTCTTTACAGTTGCTAAGCCCTTTTTGTAATAAGTAGACCTGTTCCCCCTTCACCCAGGCCCTTCACTCTTAGATAACGGTCCCATCTTCCTTGGTCTACATCCTGAATTCTTAGAACATGTTTTCCTCTAGTCACAGAGTCTAGTGGAATCCTCACAAGATGTAGTGAGTTCAGATCTGCTTTTTGTATCTCCTCCTCCTCGGCACAGCTGAGGTCACTGGTATCTTTCCCTTCCTGAATCTATGTGCTGCCCGTGTTCCCTCCTTACCATGGGTTCAGTATCTGCCAGTGGATTTCTAGACGACTTCAGGATGAGCACTTTTAGAAACCATGTTTAAGTTACACATGCATAAGATCTTAGCCCTAAGGAAAAACGGGAGCTTAACTATGATATAAGTGACAGAATAGGTACCCAGAAATAAACCTACATGTATATGGCAAACCAGTCTTTGACAGAAGTGCCGAGAGTATCCACTGAGGAGAGCATAGTCTGTTCAATAAATGGGGTTCAGATAGCTGGAATCTATGTGAAGTGTGACTGCAAAATATGGTGAATGTTTAAATTAAAAATAATTATTCCAGTGTAAGGGACATGAATGTTAACTCCTCTCAAAATACTCCCGCTTACTTCATCCGCACTTAGCCCATCACTTCCTGAAGCAGTCCTTTCTTTGTGACTGTCTTTAATTTGCTGTCATGTCTGCCTCAATGTCCTGAGTTAATTCAAACTTTCACCATTCATGATCATTTTGACATTATGGAAGAGTCAGAAGTCACACAGTGCCAAAAGATCCAGTGAATAAGGTGGATGAGGACACACAGTAATGTTTGTATGAGCCTGCCTTCCTATTACTGAATGGCACACAGCAGCAGCATTCACCATATTTCTGATCACACATTGTAAAGACAGCCATTCAGAAAACTGTTAGAACTGCCTCAGAAAGTGGCCTCAGAAAGTGGCAAAATAGATGAGATTAAGTGTGTTCAAAGTGAGGGGATAATATTTTGAGGGGAATTAATGGCAGCATTTTACTGTAATAAATTAAACTTTCTCCTTATAATCTTACCATATATGCAAAAGGCTGAAGTTAGACCCTTATATCATATTCGAAATGAACTCAAAATGGACTGAAGATTTAAAAGACCTGAAACCATAAACCTCCTACAACAGAGAAAAACTTCCCTGACACTGGTCTTGAAATGTTATTTACTATGCCACCAAAAAAAAAAAAAAAAAAAAAGGAGCAGAATAAAAATAAAAACAAGTATCACAATATCAAGCCAAAAAGCTTTTGCCTTCAATAAAATAAAAATTCAACCAAGGGAATGGGGAGAAATCATTTGCAAACCACATGACTGATGAGAGGTGAAGGACTTGAACAGATATTTTTGCAAAGAAAACAATGGCCAACAAAGAATGAAGAGCACTCTGCACTAACACCTTCCAGGAAAAAGTCAGTGAACTGGGAGTCAGAGGACCTTCCCCACTCAGATAAAAGGCAGCCATGAAAACCCACAACCAACATTATACTCCAGCTGGAATGCTGAATGTTTTCCCCCAGGGTGAAAAGCAAAATATGTGCTCCCAGCCCTTCCATTTAAAATTGTACTGGACATCTTAAGTAAAGAGGAGAAAGAAAAAGCTTAAATATTGTAAAGAAAAATAAAATTCTGTTTATTCTGGACTTACGCCATTTGAGCAGGGCATGCCCTGGTGTCATACTATTTGTGTTTTGTGTGTTTCTCATTTTTGAATTTGTGAGCTTTTAATTATTAAATTTGGAAAACTTGAAGCAGTTACTATTTTTTCCTCCTTGATCCTGGGGATTTGACTCTGCACATGGTAGGTTGAATGCTCTACCACTGGACTATACTATAGTCCCTCCATCTTTATTTCTTTTAAACATAATTTCTTTTCCTCTTTCAAAGAATCTAATTACACCTGTGTTACTCCCTGGACATTTTCCCATGCTCACTTAGGGTGCTTTCATTTTCTAAATTCATTTTTAATGTTTCATTTTGGGAAATTTCTATTGCTGTGTATTAAAGTCCATTAATGTCTTCTTAATCTTTTTGTATTTAAAAACGATCAATAGTTCTGAATAAATATTTCTCAAAAGAAGACATGCAAATAAAGAGCTCACAGTATAAGAGAAAACCACTCAACATCCCTAATCATCAGGGAGATGTAATCAAATCATAACGAGATATGGTCTCCCACCTGCCAGGATGGCTACTGTCAAAACAAAAATAGAAACAAAAACAAAAACCACAGATAAATGCTGGTAAGGACATGGAGAAAAGGAAATTCTTGTGCCTTGGTGGCAGGAATATAAACTGGCACAGCCATTACGGAAAACAGTATGGGAGTTCCTCAAAGAATTAAAAATGGAATTACTGTATCCAAAAGTCACAAATCTGGGTATACATCAAAGGAAATAAAACCAGTAGTTCAAAAAGATATTTGCGATTCCATATCCATTGCCGCCCTTACTTACAGCCGACATACATAGATAACCTAAATATTCACTGACAGATAAACGGGCAGAGAAAATGTGGTACCAGTATCTCTGTACCTCTAACTATGTATCTGTATCTCTACATACACACATATAGTGAAATATCATTCAGCCATAAAAGGAGGAAAAATTTTCAGCTGCAATAATGTGAATAAAGTTGGAAGACATTATGGTAAGTGAAAGAAGCTGGCCACAGAAAGAAAAATACTGCATGATCTTGCCTGTACGTGGAACCTGACAAGTCAAAGTCATGGAAGCAGAGAGAATGGTAGCTGGCAGGGGTGTAGATAGGAGAAATGAGTGGTCTTGATCAAAGGGCACGAACTTTCAGTCATCAGGCAAGTTCCGGGGGTCTAATGTACAGAATGGTGACTACAGCTCACAGTGCTACATTGTGAAACACAGTACTTGAAAATCCCTACATATGACTGGTAGCTATGTGAGGTGACAGTGTGTTAAGAAACTTGTGGCAATCATTTCACACTGTGTACATTTACCAAATTACCACCTGGGATGCCCTATACACACAGAATTTTTGTCAATTATATATTCAAAAAACTGAGGGGCAAAAACATATGAAAAAATGTAAGTAGAGGGGAGGAACATAAAATACTAATACACATTTGGGAATCTTTATTTTCAGAGAACTAATAAAGATATAGGTAAGGTGCCTGCTATATCCACTTCTAAGTTTTATGTACTCCACAGTAATGAATACTGCGGCTGTTTTTTTTTTTTTTCTGTTTGTTTCTTTTTGTTTTTTAAACTGAAGCTCTGTAGGCTCCTCTTCGAAGGCACTGGAAGACTCCGTGCAGTGACAGTGACATAGGCATTAGTTTGTGCTCATGGAGATTTTTGCCTTCATTCAAGTTTGCACCAGGAGCTGAGAGACTAGAATCATTGCTTTTTAGGCAACAAGTATTTATAGAATGCTTTACATATGCAGGCATTATAGTGGAAAATGTGGGAAAGTTCTGGCTGACGAAGATCTCAGACCTGGCTCACTCTTCATAGCCCAGCAGAGTAGACACTGGCCAGCACTTGATCACATAGATGGAGTTCACGTGCCTGGCCATTGCTGTGAGGAGCCACAGGACAAGCTACAGAAAAGCACACTGGAAATGACTTCACGAGGGGGTAAGGGCCACTCTCAGGACTACACAGAGTGCATAAGATGATGGGAGGGTACAGAAGGCCAGTAGCAACAGCAGATGCAAAGGTCCTGTGGTGGCAGGCACGTGATGACTAAGAGAGACTAAACCATGGCCGTGTGGCGCAATGGCAGAGTGAAACAGGACGGGGAGGCGGGGGGAAGCTACAGCTGGAGAAAAGAAACAGTGGCCAGACTACTGAGTCCTCCTGAAGGATCTTGGTCTTTAGTCCAAGAGTAACGAAAAGCCATCGACGGAGGTGGGAACAACAAAACTGATTTATGTTTTGGGGAATAAAAGATGGAGAGAAGGAGGAGGGAGTGAAGGGGAAGGAGGATGGAAAAAGAATCGGGATGTGTTATGTCCGTGTAACAACTCCCCACGAGGAATGTGATTAATATGTAATACGACATGTACAAAGAAAAAACAGAAACTGAAAAAAAATCTTACTCCAGCTACACTGTGAGGGTCAGGAGAGGAGAATGAAAGTGAGGATGCCAATTAGGCCACAAACCTTACCCTCCCTCCACTAAATGCAAAAGGTAGAGAGGCACAAACAGTAAGAACTCTAACTTGAAGGGAAATGAAGCAGAAGAAATGATAATTTACAGATTAGGTTTGGTGTCTAATCTCATCTTCCATACCAGTCAGCCAAGCAGGCAGCAGGACAAGGCTAGGAAGGCAGTGAGGTTAGACCCTGGCTGGGTCAGACACCAGCTACCATCTCTTTGCCATGGTTTCTTATATATAAAATGCATATGACAGTTACCATAGGTGAGGAGAGGGCATGGGAGGGTTAAAGAGCAATGTATGTCAAGTGGGCAGCTAAGTAACACAGATGGAGCATGCGTGCATGCACATCTATTCTCCCTTCTTCTTAGTACCCACTCTGTTTGGGGCAGCAATGTGCTCGTAAAAATACCTCCCAGACTCCTTTGCAGCTCTGTGTTGTC